CACGTAGTCAGGTCAAAGTTGGGGCTCTCGTGTGATATAGTAGGAAGGCCCTAAAGCAGCATAAGGTGAGGGCAGGTCCTCCTCACTGTTCTTTTTGTATTCAATAGCAATTTTTCTGTCTCAAAATTGCTGTTGAGATGATAGATGTGTTTTAATTTTTCCTTTTTTTTAAAGCATATGTGACTTCGAAGAATATGAATGAGTAAATTCATCTGTATGTTTTTAGATTATTGGATAATTTATAAAAACCAGTCTTTCCTTGGAGATGGCAGAATGAGGATTCCTATACTGTAATTAGAGTATAAATGCTAGAAATCCTAGCCACTTATATAAAATATGCACATTCCTGAAAGAGTTAAAAAAAAAAAGAACATTTTTTGTAAAAATAAGACATTTCAATTGTAATTTGATCTACCGGCTTTCTTTAATGTTAATCAAGATCTTAAAGAATTGCTAGACCATTACTGACTTCCTGAGCAAATTCATTGTCGAGAACTTCTTTGCAGAGAAAAAATGGATAGGTTTATGAAATCTACGTTGTTCTTTGTTTTCTTGATTTAATGGATCATTTAATGAAAAATAATATGGAAGTATGTGTAGCAAATTAATTTTATTAACTCTGAAATCTTTATTTTATTCTTTGTGAATTAACAATGTCTTTAACAAAGCAATGGTTGAGTTTTACCGTGTATTTTTACCCTGCAAAAATACAATTTGGTGTGCTAAACTAAAGCTCTGGTCTGCATATAACCTTTTACAAGAACTGTATTAAAAGAAGCAAAGATTGGATCACAGCACTGGAAGTAATAATATCACGTTTAAGTAGATCAAGATGTCGTAGCAAGCTTAAATATTTGTGCCTGAATTTTGTAGCTCATTAACCACTTCGTTGATGATGTATCATTGAACTGAGGAACAGACCTCCCCAAAGCTTCCCTTTTCAGACGCTGGTGAAGTACCTTTTCAGTAGAACCTTTTTAGTGGAATGTAGTATTTGGGGGCTGGGGGAGTTACCTGTATATCTAAAAACTCTTGCTAATATAACGTTGAGCCTTGAGAGCAGTTCAAGTCCTCCCTCCCTAGGTACTAGCAGACAGACAGAAAAACAGTGCCCTCTAATGAATGTGGAGTGCGTATGGAATCAGCTTCCTGTCACAAGGTTGCTTTGTTTGGCCTTTTAAAAACACTTTCCGAGCTTAAAAGTCCAAAATGAAACCTGCCAGCTGTACTGTGGTATTAAGGCATGCATTTGCTGCGTTGTCCTTCCATGATTTCAAACTAACCTTTAAAAAAACAAAATTGAAGGACTCATTATTCTGAGATTGTCACTGAAAGCTTGCTCACAGCCTATTAATTACAGTATATGTGTACTGTGCTCTGCTTCAAAGGCATGGCTCTTCTCAGGGCTCAGTAGGAATCAAAGTAAAAAAAGCTATAAAAAGTATCAAGTAAGGACTTGTTGTACTTTAAGTCTGTTGTATTTCTTTGAAATACCAAAAATAAAATAGTTTTTATGGTAATCGTGTTCTGTGCATACGTGTACATGCATGCACAGTGGCATAGATGTAACTGATGCACCAGCCAGTAGAAGTAAGAGACCATAAATAGAGTGTATCAGTGTTTCTGGGTAAATCAAGGTAGACAGTTGTGTGTTGGAGAAAAATGTCAAATAGTGCAGGAATTATTTTGAAGGGAAAGGAAACTGATCTTGGTTTGCACATTAGATTAGTTTTTCTTAGGAGTGGTAGGCAACCAAAATGTGATTTAAAAATTAAACACATTGAAAGGGAGGTCTTGAACAATATCTGTCTTGTGTATGTAGGAAATACTGTATGATTTTGTTGTCTGAAGAAGATTTTAAGTTTGTTTGTCGGGATGAACAACATTGAGGTTTCTTAGAAATCAGACTTCTAAGCTGTATTCCAAACTATCTGGCAATAACAAAGCCAATGGCTGTGAGTTCTCCTTGGGTTTCTCCTGTAAACTGAGCAGCCTATCTTTTCAATTCTAATACTATCTAATGCTCACTTCAAGATATGTTTGTTTAAGTAGATCAAGATGTACTTTGGAAGCATAATATTTATTTTACTAGCATTGTACCTCTATCAGTGGTATGTTTAAAATTTCACTGGAGTTATAAGGCTTGTCAAATATCAACTTTGCTTATATTTTGGGATAAATGGCTTAGCTTTAACAGGCTCCTAAATATGCTTGATGCTGAAGTATCCTTACGCAGTTTTAAACCATTTCAATTCTAACACTAATTCAATAAAGCAGAATTACTCTTAATACTCTGTTAATGGAATTATGTGCCCATTTTTCTCTTAGATATGTCCGGTATGTTTACAGACAAGATCTTACACTTACTTAAGGTGTATTTTCAGGCATGTGTTCTGAAAATTAAGTATTAATACAACTTTAGTATACCTTCATATTGTTGTCACATCTTAATACAGTGAGCATTATTTATGTTACACTGTGTTACCTTGAATATACAACTTCAATATCCATCATATTTTAGGAGCAAGTCAACATACTCAGACTAGTGGATGTAAATGCTGAAGCCAGTCCAAGGTCAAAGTAGCATTCCTTAGAAAGAAACAGCACGTGGAGAGCTATGTTTGGTAGTGGAAGGAGGTGCTGCTAGGGAGAAAACCTGGGGTTTTTATCTTTGTATGCTCAATTGTCAGTAAAGCAAAACCCCATGAAGCCTGTGGATTTGGGGTTTTCACAGCATACAGGCTTCTATGCATTTCGTAAATTGGTTTAAAAAAAAATGACATTTTACATGTGTACTTCCAGCAGTATTTACACTGTAAATACAATATAAAGCTTTGGCGTAGTTGACAATGGTCTTAGGTGAAAATAAGTGTAGTAAGAGATAGCTGTATTAAATATGATAGTAGCAGATGATTTGAACAGGAAGAGAGTAATGATCTTACAGTCTTCGGGAAAAGGTGTTCCATAGGCAGGCAAACCCACCCGGCTTGCATTGCAGAGCTGAGTTGGTGACAGAAAAAAGAAGGTGAATATATCCAAGTGAAATGCACAACAACATGAAGTTATGAGCCATGAAACATAAATTGTTGAGACAGAGGTGGAGATTATGGAAGAATGATGTTTAGGGATTTTACTGGCAGAGTTTTAGACTGAAAGGCATTGAGAGGTCAGAATGGGAGATGAAAACTGGAGCCGAAACCTTGAACGTGTTACATATATTGGTAGAGAGCAAATAAGTAATGAAAGTTATTTTGAAAGAAGCAGCAGCATATGGTTATGTGAAGTCAGAGTAAGGATGGAATAGTTTGAGATTACTTCTGTGCTTTAAGCTATAACAACCTCATTAGTAGTAATCAGATTAGAAGAGTGGAGAAGACTTTTAAGTAGGAGGTAGGGTAAAAAGTAGGGTTTTGGTCTAAGTGTAAATCAGTCCTTCCAGGATACACAGTGGACTGGCCAACAGGTTGAGCATCAGGTTTGGATGCTGGGATGCATTTATGTCATAATACGTGGGATTGTTTTGAAAATAGCAGAATTGTGAGGTGTTTGGTCAAGTACTATCAGATATTTTTCTGAAACAAAGTTTAGCTTGCTCATTAAATAATACATAAATAATGGTTTTGGTTGCAGTGATCGATTTTCCATTTCTTTTCATTGCAGTCAGAAATTGGATTTGGAAAAATGGAGACCTATATCAAGTTAGAAAAGCTTGGAGAGGTATGTATAGCTTTCTTTTGAAATGATTGCTGCTTTGATGACAATGTCTTGTGTGAAATTTTACATAAATGTTAACTGAAAAATCTCCATGTCCCTCAAAGTACCCATTGAATTTATCTTTTCAGTAAACCAGACATACTCGACGTGTGTAACAATGTCACAACCACACAAATGTTCTATGCATATATAAAAACCATCACTAAGCTGGGGAAGAGCAAGACTCCATTAGTGAGTGATCTGTGACCTTACGTAGGCTGGATGTGTATGTAGATAGACAAAATTACTCTGTCAGTATAAAAAATAGTGAAGTCTGGTGTCCTCCTGCTCTGAGTTAGGTGGTGGGGAGCACTCATGCTAGACAAGAAGCCAGTGCTTGCAGGGAGCAGGCAGAAGCTGTCCATGTTGAGGTAGAGAAGTCGGCTTGCCTGAGCTGGGCAGCCAGCTGGCTGCTGCCACGTGAAACACGTAACGCTGAGTTTGCCTTTCCTGCTGGGACAGCAGCAGTACGGCTTTCTACCTCCACCCAGCCTCTGGCTTCCAGAGAAACAGGAGAATTCAGGAGGGCCCAGGTGTCAGTCCTGTCCGATTTGATTACGGTTGGTCAGTGGGATCAGAACTGGAGAGGGAGCACTGGAATGGGACGCACGGAACGTTGCAGAAGGACGGCAGGGCTGGTCGGCATCTCTGCTGTGTACGTTGCAGCTAGTCCTCCATTCACAAAGTTTTCATTTCCAAACGCACTCATTTTTCATTTTGCCTCTGTTACTTGTTAGGTGGGTCACTAGACAGGGCATAACGTTGTGCATCTTTGCAGGAATGTTAATCTACTGGCTATCATGTCATAGTTGTGGGTGTATGTTATTTCACTTGCTTACCAAGTGTAGTGGACAGCACCAGGTTTGTACTGTAACCTAGGGCAGTTTCTGTAACTTTGTTGCTTCCTCTTTGCAATTGCTGGGATTAGTTGTACCTACTTGCTGTTTTATCAGACTTTCTTGTCTTACGTAACGTGCCGTGACAGTTTTGAATCCCTTACTGTGTAAGCAAAAAAAAAACAGGAAAAAGGTAAGCTTCATAATATTCACCGTTCATTATGTCAACCAAAATGGAACTTTTGACACACACACTGTTCTCATGTAAAATATGTGATGAAGATGAGAAGTTATCAAAGGACTTACATAAGGTTAAGCTCTGGGGCCCTCAACATCAGAAGGATACAGACTGGTTGGAGCGAGTACAGAGGAGGCCACGAAGAGGCTCAGAGGGCTGGAGCACCTCTCCTATGGGGACAGGCTGAGAGAGTTGGGCTTGTTCAGCCTGGAGAAGAGAAGGCTCCGGGGAGACCTTATTGCCCCTTCCAGTGCCTGAAGGGGCTACAAGGAAGCTGAGGGGGGACTTTTTACAGGGACCTGTAGTGACAGGACAAGGGGCAATGGGTTTAAGCTGACAGTGGGGAAGTTTAGATTAGATATCAGGAAGAAGTTCTTCCCGCAGAGGGTGATGAGGCACTGGAACAGGTTGCCCAGAGAAGCTGTGGATGCCCCATCCCTGGAAGTGTCCAAGGCCAGGCTGGATGAGGCTTTGAGCAACCTGGCCTAGTGCAAGGTGTCCCTGCCCATGGCAGGGGGGTTGGAACAAGGTGGTCTTTAAGGTCCCTTCCCACCCAAATCTTTCTGTGATACATATTCATAAAAGTAATGGAAGACTATGTCTGCAACCTTTGGCAACATAACTGCAGCATAGTGTAGAGATACCTGAGCTAGTTTTAATCAAATAGAGACTTGCGAGTGGGTAAACGATCCCAGCAGGGAACCTAGTGAAATTAATGCTACCTGATCTGACTTCTTTGGTAGCCATAGGGTGTATAGCTTTCCATGTGATTTTCAGAGCCATTAAAGCATATGCACACTTTGTGTCTTCTGTGTTTTCAGACATGTGCCCCACAAAATATTTTTGTAGTTTTACATATCTCAAAAAAAAGACAGTGTAAAAACTATTCATATGCAAAATGGAACCTATTCGAACCTCTGGCAGAAGTTTTTTGGGGTTTTTTTTGGGTGTGTTTTTTTTTTTTTTTAACTGATCGACTAGTGAAGGAACAACTTGTAAAAAAGCTTGTAAAAGTTGGCCTTTTTCCATTTTGTAGGGTACTTATGCAACAGTTTATAAGGGGAGAAGTAAACTGACAGAGAACTTGGTAGCTCTGAAAGAAATCCGACTGGAACACGAAGAGGGAGCACCATGCACAGCCATAAGAGAAGGTGATAACGCTTTTTTTTTTACTTAGAAATACCTCTGGATTTCTTTTTGACCCAAGTACTGTTGGAAATACATAGGCCATATGGGACATTAATGAATTTGTTACTAGTTTTGATGAGGAAAATTTTAGTCTAGACTTATTAAGAGCTAGTGTTTCAATATATTTACTTTATGGGTTGTGTTCTCAAATGCAGTGTTATAGATGATTTTATACTGAATTAGACTATTATTGGTGAGTAATTTTCACAGATTCAGAATACATTTTACCAAATGACTGCTTCTTTATAAAAAAAATAGCTTATGCATATGAACTTGCTAGAAATGCATTTACTGTGTTTTGCATTTATTTATTTTATACTTAAAATTCTCTTCTGCAGTGTCATTATTAAAGGATCTGAAGCATGCAAATATTGTTACATTACACGATATTGTGCACACAGACAAGTCTTTGACTCTTGTTTTCGAATATCTGGTAAGTGCTTAAACAACAAGCAGCCTTTACATTCAATTTATTGTTTCTAAGTAACACAGACATAACAAAATTCTGTACTCTTTTCAAAAATTCCTGGACAGTTTTCTGCTGCATCTAGAATCATTCAGCTGAAAATGAGAAAAGTGTATTCAGTTCTTAAATTGCTGTAAATTAGGAACTAGTGTTGTGATCACTTCAGAGTTTCATTAATAGAAGTTAGTGGTGATCTGCCGGAGCAAGTTGTCTACTTGTACCTAAATCTTTAGCGTAAAAAAAGTTAATCACACTAAGATTCAAAGGGTATTTTTCTGTTATGACACAACTCTTGCAAGCTGGCTAAGGAAAAAAGTGTACTTTGAAGTAAACAGCACATTCCATCTTGTAACAATCTTTTCAAGCAAGTGTCCACAATTACCTGTATCACCTGCTTGCCTCCTGCACTGTAGGCTTATCACTTTCTCACTGAAACTTTGTCTAATGATCTTTTCTTATAATATGCTGGAATATGTAAGTGTAGTAAGAGGGATGAGGAAAAACTCTATTTCCAATGTAATTGTAGAACATAGGAATTTCGTAAAACACTGTGTCACACACAAGGTGAAGGAGACAGCAATAACAAATAATGTTGCCTGAGATGATGCAGCTTGCTGGATAACCTGAGTATTTATATCCTGGAAAGCCAGATTTTTCTGCATGTTCAGGCTTTGGGGCTTTCTATCATTGACCAACTTTTGCAGAAAACTCAGTTTTCTAATGCATTATTTCAGTTCTAACAATAAATAATATTCATGTAATCTGTTGTCCACAATTTTAACAAACAGTGGTGATGGTGTTTTGACAGGACAAGGATCTGAAGCAGTACATGGATGACTGTGGTAACATCATGAGTATGCACAATGTAAAGGTGAGTGTTTTCAGTGACGGGGACCGTCTTCCAGCTTTCTCTGTTCTGATAAGGTTTAGGGCTTTTTAAAAAAATTAAAATTAAAGAAATTTAACTTCCTTCTTGGCCTTTGGGCCTGGCTTAACTACATTTGGTATCAGATGGAGTCTTTCTTTTTGGTTTTGATGTTTTTTAAGTGTTCAAAGCACTGAAAACAGGAGATGGTATAACTTGATATGCTTTCATTTTCTTTGAAGTTAGGTATTTAAAATTTAAAACTTCCTAAAAGATAATACCTTCATAATTCTTTTGACCTCTTCTTGTCCTTCCATTATTTTATACTCATTTATTAGGTCTGTAGTTTGGTGTAGGCTGGGTTGCCAGTATCGCCCTGCTGTATTGCAGCCTGATCGAGCCACACATGGCACAAATGCGGTTGACAACACAATGTACTAAATCCTGTGAAGTGATGGGGTTTGTGTGCATTCCAGCAGAGTTGTCATCCTTCGTTTTGGCTTAGTTGCATGTTGAAAAATCTGTTCTTAGTTGAATTGCGTATGGAATTCGGTCTGGGTGTTGGTTACTGTTTGGATAGCTTTTCCTTTTATTCTGTTGTCACATTGCAGTTAAGTACCTCTGGGGAAAGACATCTGCCCTTAACCTGCTCTTTTGCTTCCATTGAGAGTCTGCAAAGGAAAATTGCTTAATTTGTATCTGCTTCAGAGACAACAAAAACCATAATTACGCTTGTGTTTTTAATTAATACAATAAGGAGTGCTTTAAGCTTAAAAAAACCAATAAGGAAAAGCTGTAAGTGGGAAGCTGACTTCTGTAATAAGTGCAGTTAGAGAACAAGCAGAATCTGCGTGTGGTAATCCGGGCTAAGCAGAGTAACTGTTTTTCCTTGTTTGCCTGTTGTTTAAGCTGTGCCCTAAGAGCAGATTTATATGGTCAGTAGCTTTGGCACTGGGAAACCAGAACAGCTGCTTAACTGTAGTAGCTGTAGATGCTTACCTCACAATAACTGTGGGGGATTGGGTAATTAGTAACATTAGAGAGACCTTCCTGTCATCACTCCCCTCGCATTCCTCAGCTAATTTCAGGGGTTTGAGTTTTAGCAAAATGAAAATGTATAATATAAAGATGGGTGTGATCTCTGCAGGTATTACTGTTTCAAACAAAAGTTTGAGCTAATACGTGTTGTCTATGTTTCCACATGCCAACAGTGGTGAAGATTCACTATTTCTGTAGAAAACCTGCTTTGCTTACTTGACTAATCCTTGCAGTCTCAGTGCACGCTGGAGATGGCTATGGATTTCCACAGCAGTCCTGTTAATATTACTTGGGACTGACTACCCCTGCGACAGTATGGACATGAGCAGATGGAGCAAAATTTGTTGCTTCTCATTCTGCTCTTTGAAAAAGGAAAGAAAGAAAGAAAAAATCAGTGCCAATTCCTTTTTGTTTTTTAGAACAGATAAATCCCACATAAGCAGACTGAGAACAGATGGATGCAAACTACACCTGCTGTGTATTTGTCCAGTTCAGGAAAAAGAATTTGGTGGTGTCACCTGGTACAAAAATAAACTGATGTGTTAGAAAATGGTCATATAAAAACATTCTAATGTTTCTGCTCAAAAGCCCTATTCCATGCTGAATTTGTCACATTTATAAACATGGCTTTATGTAATGTTCTTTTTTCATTGTACATTTGATCACCTATACTGGCCGAGGACTGTTATGTGGTAAATGCCAGAGGTCTGTTGTGTAAAGTCAGACCCTTTATACATACAGAAAATGCAAAATAGTAGTCCTTAATGCAGTAAACTTGCTTGGCTGCCCTCTGCTGACCCTTCTTCATCCCTTACTACGTCTGTGTCTATATATGTGCAGAATTAATATGCGTGACTGAAGTTGCTTGCTTGGCTTGCTCTTCCAAAGGACTAAAATAAACCTGTGTGTGTCAAGGTGAGGGGATGAATATAAATGCTAGAGGCAGTTGGGCTCTTTTAGTAATTCTTATTTCCCCGTTTCTCCATGTTTTGTGAGCTTGTGAACCCCAATGTATTTTTCCAATAGCATGCCAAAATGTTCTTTACATGGTTTAGCTCAATTGGATAGAAAGGATGCAGAGCTGCATTTTCAGAAGGGATTCTGTGGCAGAAAGGAACTTGAGTATCGTCAGAGACAGTTACTTTTAAGGACATTAGTGTGGGGAAGAGTACTGGTAAATGCTTACTTAAAAATAAACAGCCCTGTGGTTCTCTTCAGTTAAGCAGAACAAATTGCTCTTAAAATCTTTGTTGTGAAGTATCCTGTTACAGCAGTGCATGAGCATAAGGGGATTTTAAATCTGTAAACAATGATGGTGTTCAGAATGTGTTCATACGGAAAAGTAACTTATTTTTTAGGAGTATTTTTGTCCTGTTTACAGTACAGAGACTTAACTCCGCAATACCCAAATGGGCTGTTTTAGTCGTGTAATCTGCACATTTTTAGTCTAATTTATATAAATATTTTCTTCTTGCAGCTGTTTTTATACCAGATTCTTCGTGGTTTGGCTTACTGTCATAGGAGGAAGGTATTACATCGAGATCTGAAGCCACAAAACCTACTAATTAATGAGAAAGGAGAGCTGAAGCTTGCAGACTTCGGTATGGCTTGAAATTATTCTGTTCCAAATATTTTCTTCACTCAGCAAAAGAGAGGCATCTTTCCTCGTAAAAGAAAGATGAGAACATTGCGTCTGTCGTGAATTTGTGCATTCTTAGATGGAAAATGAAAGTCAGCATTTTACAGGATATTCGTAATCAAAGTAGGAGGTGTATAGGTAGTACCGTCGCTTGACTTGTGGTTTGAAAGTCGTCTTACAGCTCCCTTGGAAACAGAGGCTTAGTCAGATGCTTAGGTGGAGCTCAAGTTGCTTTTCCTAACACTCCATAGTCACTGCAAAGCAGAGTAACCATGACAGGAGAGAGAAGGGGTCTGTCCGCATGCTAAATTGTCAGGTGTTGCTCCCTCACTGATACACCTTGTTCCTTTGGGATTTATTCTAGTGGGGCATTCAGAGTTTCCTGTTGCATTCTGTGTCAGGAAGGTCCTTTGAAAGTCATGCTACCGTGGGTTTTTCCCCTTGTGCGTGAATGAAAGTTGTTCACAAGATTGCATCTAACATGATAGACCGAAGTTTTATTGAAGATATTACTGACAAACTGACAGTGTTTGGGTGGAAAACCCCTGCTGATCCCACACTGATTTTGTCTGGTCCCACGATTTCATTATTCATTTGTTGGCTTCTGCCTCTTGCAATATAATTCTCAAATGGAAATAGTGTGGCAGGGTTTTCACAGGGGGAGGTGTCATACTGATCTAATGCCTTGTTGTTTTAATGAAATGTGTGGGATTACTTCGGTTTTGAACTGTTTACCTGCCTCTGTGCTTAAAAATGCTGATCGTGAGATTGGTGTAAATAACAAGAGGCAAATCACAGGTTGTAGAAATGTATTTATTAGGGCTTTTTAAGGAATGTTATTGGGAAACTCTTTAGCAAGTATAATAATGTTGATTTAACTCTTAAAAATTCTGTGTCAGTTCCGTGCAAAACCAAAGATTTTGGCAAGCTGCGCATGACTCTCTCTTTCTCTTTTTATCAAGGATTGGCTAGAGCAAAGTCCGTTCCTACGAAGACCTATTCCAATGAAGTTGTCACATTATGGTACAGACCACCTGATGTTCTCCTCGGATCTTCAGAGTATTCAACTCAAATTGACATGTGGTTTGTATAGCTGTGCCTAATTTAAATTTTTCTTCTCAGGGAAGTTAAAAAAAATGTCAGCTCTTTATTAATATGTAGTAGCATTCAAATACAAATCCTTTGAATTTTTGAAGGCTACAACTGAGTGAGATTTTTAGAGGAAGGATTGGCAGACAGGGAAGATGCTATTATTCCTCTCTGAAAATGCAGAGTACCTTTTTATTGGTTAGGCATTAGGCTCACAGTGTTAAGGAAAAAACCAAACGTTCTCCTAATGACATGATAATGTGGTATTTTACTATGAATTTCAATGCAATTGATAAACTTGACGCCTGAAGGAAAAGGATATAATGTAGCTATGACGTAAGTTTTGTTTAGTCTTTGACAATTCTTTTCTTCCTACGTATTTTTCAAAACAATATTTTTAATAGCATGTGGCTAACAATCAATGTAATAATTTGGTTTAACTGAAGAGAAATCACAGAAATCTTTAAGAGCTGAAAGATTAAATTGTTGGATTGTTTCTGATTAATCTTTTTCTCCCTTTTGATAAAGGGGCGTTGGATGCATATTCTTTGAAATGGCATCAGGAAGGCCTCTTTTTCCTGGGTCGACTGTTGAAGATGAACTGCACTTAATTTTCAGACTTCTGGGTAAATGGATGCTTTTAGAAGTAAAGTTATCACTAGATATTTGTTCTTTTTGCACAAGAACTATACATGTTTATATCTGTAAACAATGATAATTTATATGGCATGGTAATTAAGGTGAATGACTGTACTCTTGATCAAAAATGATTGAGCTGAGTGCACAGCTGAGTTTGTACAACAGATTCATTGACGGTTTTTTTTGTTTTCTTTCTTTCCTGTTTAAATTACAGGATTAAAGGCATATTTACGTCAAAGTCGTTCCTTTACATTTTTTTAAGTTGAATTTGTTGCTTTTTTTGAATGCAGGAACCCCGTGTCAAGAAACATGGCCAGGCATTTCGTCCAGTGATGAATTTAGAAACTACAACTTTCCTAAGTATAAACCACAACCCCTCATCAACCATGCACCAAGGTACTTTGTGTTTTATTAACAGAAAATGCACATCCTTGTGGCTTTGCACGTTTGTAAATGTGAACATGTTTCCAAGTACGGTCTGCTACGGAGTGCTGGAAAACAGCACATCAGTTGTGTTATTGTGGGCAGATAGTAATGCGAAGCATAATCCTGGTACTAAGAGATTGCGTTGTCTGATATTGCTCAAGGTACCACAGCTCCGTTACCACTATAGAACGATGCCTGCATAGTAGGAGTATTCACACAGCACTTCCCAAATAACCCAAATTCTCTGTTGTTATATAACAGGCCCTTTGTTAAAATGACACAGTTTTCGTGAGCGGTCTCTTGAAATCATTCTGAAACCATTGCGAGGAGTTTGAAGGGCCTGCACAGTTGTTAGAAATAAACTTTGTCACCGAGGCGGCCACATTTCTTTATTGACTCTGAAGAAAAAGATTTGGCATTGTGTACTAGTTAATGAGTAGTGTTAGGCTTAAAAAAAAAAAATCAAAATCAAACCCACAGTTTTTTTGCTAAAATAAATGATCCAGGTCTACCTAGTATATCACAATCCAAAGCTCAGGATTTGTCTGTCCCCATTGTTTTTCAAATAGTCTTGTTGTGAGATACTGGTGCTTGTATGTATACACACTAACATGCAGGAAAGTTACTTGGGTGAAAGCATTTCCCTATTTAATTTTCAGGTGTGGTATCATTTAATGAAGTCGGTTCCTCTGCAGTTTTGCTTTTGTAAATACAGTTCACTAACTGTTTTAATTTTTTAAAATATTTTTATTTTTAGGCTAGACACGGAAGGCATTGAATTGATAGCGAAGTTCCTTCAAGTAAGATGTGGTTTTTTGTCTCTACTTTATAAAAGTGCAAGTTCAGAGTTTGAATGTATTATTTACAAAATCAATTAGAAGCTACAGTGTCTGCTAGATCTGAGAGTGGAATGTGCAGCTGAGTCTGTAGAGGATGACAGGGAACAATGATGGTTTTGGGAAGCCTGTGTACTGTAAGAATTTAGAACCTGGTATTTAATTTTTTTATTTTTGCCAGAAGTGATTTCTTCTCTTACTACTTTTTCTAGAAATAGAACTGATTCTTTTGCTAGCAATTCCCAGGAAAAAAAAAAAACAACTTTCTGAAAGAAAGTATTAAAACAGAACTTTTAAATACAAATGCTACATTTCTGTAATGATGAACTTAGCTTACGACTAGAGGAGCAGTTACTAAGGTGCAATATTACTCTTTGATCTCACAAATTATATTCAAAAGGTGAAGTGGTGTTTTGATTTAATCTTTTAATCTGTATTAAAAATGAGCCAGAAGCAAGAAGAGGGGGAGGCACGACATAAGGCCAAGTTTTTGAGTAGGTGCAGAAGCACTGTAACTTCCCGGTGTCAAACGTTCTTGGTACGGAAGGTGGAGTGCGGTTACTCTGCCTTTCAGCCCGAGAGTGAAATTCTGCAGCAGGTGTTCATCTGTTTAGACATTGTGTCAGAAGCGTGCATGCAGTCCCTGGTTGGACTTTGTTCGTACTTGTATACAGCTTATTAAATGTCTGTATCTTTGTCCAAATGGCCACAAATGCCAAGTGGGAGACGTTGGACTGAAGATTGTGTTGTCTGACGGTCCGTTCTGTGCAAAACACAGCATCGAAGTTCATTGAATTAGAGAACTCTTGTGACCTCACACAATCGCATTTCATTGCAACCTAATTCTAGAATATAATGTAGACAGAAGTCAGTCATCTAATCATTCTGACATCTATAAATAAAGATTAAGTGTATGTTTGACTTGCATCCATTTCCAGCAGTTATTTTGACTGCTTTAGCAATCTTGTTGTATGTTGATAATACCGATTTAGATAACATATGTTAGATTTTTCGCGTGTGAAATAAAAGGAATGAAAACACGTTTGTCCTAGTGAGTTGGCGGGAAGTATTGAGCAAGCAGACCTCTTTCCTCACTTTAATGGAGTAACTTGATGCAAAGAGGTTTTGTTTAATGAAAACCAACACGCTTGTGTCCTTTTATGTCAATAGTATGAATCGAAGAAGAGGATTTCGGCAGAGGAGGCTATGAAACATGCGTACTTCAGAAGTCTTGGAACAAGAATACACACTTTGCCTGAAAGTAAGAGGAGTAGCGAAGTAGCAGAGTATTGTTAAGATAGTACATTAAAGCCAAGTGCATTGCTTAAGGAAAAACTCTCAAGTCTACTCTGTTAAACAAGTCGAGTATATATTGACGCAAATATTTGGGAATAGGAAACTATTTTTTTTTTTACCTAAAACGTATAATTATGAATAGCACTTTGTTCAATGAAGCATAGTTACATTTGGAATGAATTTATTCCTTTGTTACGTTCCAGGTGTTTCAATATTCAGTCTAAAAGAGATCCAGTTGCAAAAAGACCCTGGCTTTCGAAATTCCACTTACCCAGAGACAGGTATGGAAAGCATAATATTTTCTCATATCTGCAAACAAAGTGCTGTGCCAGAGACATGCGGAACTGAAAAATGCTGTGTTAAATTGTTCTGTGGGAATGTACTCAAAATCTCAAGAAGGATTTGCGCAGCTTCCCGTAGAGATAAATAAGCTAAATGCACGGGAGGTGGTGAGTTTTGCTAGGGATGGGCAGAGGGACTGTTCGTATGAGAATGTCTTGGAGTTTCAGACCGTTACGGTGTGGGTGGCAAAGTAAAAAAAAAAAAAAAA